AATGGTCAATGTTCTCTCTGTTTTCTGCACAGCGGAGTTACCCAAACCCAACATCACAAGCAACAGCTCCCTCCCCGAGGAGTACAAGGACCCTGTTGTGTTAACCTGTGAACCTCAGACTCAGGACACCACCTACCTGTGGTTGATCAACAGTCAGAGTCTCCCGGTCAGTGCCAGGCTGCAGCTGTCCAAGGACAACAGGACTCTCACTTTACTCCCTGTCACTAGGAAAGACACAGGACCCTATGAGTGTGAAACCAGGAACCCCGTGAGCGCTGGCCGCAGTGACCCATTCACCCTGAATGTTGTCTGTGAGTAACTTCTGTCCCTGCCTGGGCCAGGCTGCTCACCCGAATCCACACTGCCAGAGGCCAGGCTACATCCGTCTTTCTCAGGTCCACGTACACAGACCCACACTTTGAATACCCAGTGGGGACATGAGTTCCTGTCCCAGGGACAACTGGCAAGGCTCGGCCTTGAGCCAAGACTAGGAGGGGACGGGATACTCCTGTTTGGAAAGGCTCAGGTTTAACAAGTTTTCATGGGACAAACAGGTTAATGTTTCAAACTCAGGCTCAGTGAACACAGAGGGTTATGGGTGGGACATTTTAAAACCAGGCTGTGACCCATTTCAGAGGGAGAGTGTGGCCCTTACACAGACCAGACCTTCCCCTTCCCTCTGATTACATCATGTGTGACGGTGTTCTCTTTGCTCCAGATGGCCCGGATGCCCCCACAATACCCCCCTCAGACTCCCATCACCTACTTGGGACAAACCTCAACCTCTCCTGCCAGGCAGCCTCTAACCCGCCTGCACAGTATTCTTGGCTTATCAATGGGAGTTCCCAGCAACCCACACAGGAGCTCTTTATCCCCAACATCACTGCAAATTATAGTGAATCCTATACCTGCCTCGCCCATAACTCTGTCTCTGGTCTCCATAAGACCATAATCAAGACTATCACAGTCTATGGTAAGTGCCTCCTGGACCATCGGCACCAGGATGTGGGGGGCAGGGCTGTCTGGTTTTCACCAA